TTGCAGCGTGCTTTTATATTTTGTTTGCAGCGTGCTTTAACACTTTTGTTTGCAGCGTGCAGTTTTAACACTTTTGTTTGCAACGTGCTTTTACATTTTGTTTGCAGCGTGCTTTTATATTTTGTTTGCAGCGTGCTTTAACACTTTTGTTTGCAGCGTGCAGTTTTAACACTTTTGTTTGCAACGTGCTTTTACATTTTGTTTGCAGCGTGCTTTTATATTTTGTTTGCAGCGTGCTTTAACACTTTTGTTTGCAGCGTGCAGTTTTAACACTTTTGTTTGCAACGTGCTTTTACATTTTGTTTGCAGCGTGCTTTTATATTTTGTTTGCAGCGTGCTTTAACACTTTTGTTTGCAGCGTGCAGTTTTAACACTTTTGTTTGCAACGTGCTTTTACATTTTGTTTGCAGCGTGCTTTTATATTTTGTTTGCAGCGTGCTTTAACACTTTTGTTTGCAGCGTGCAGTTTTAACACTTTTGTTTGCAACGTGCTTTTACATTTTGTTTGCAGCGTGCGTTTATATTTTGTTTGCAGCGTACTTTTACATTTTGTTTACAGCGTGCTTTTATACTTTGTTTGCAGCGTGCTATTACATTTTGTTTGCAACGTGCTTTTACATTTTGTTTGCAGCGTGCGTTTATATTTTGTTTGCAGTGTGCTTTTACATTTTGTTTGCAGTGTGCTTTTACATTTTGTTTGCAGCGTGCTTTTACATTTTGTTTGCAGCGTGCTTTTACATTTTGTTTGCAGTGTGCGTTTATATTTTCTTTGCAGCGTGCTTTCACATTTTGTTTGCAGCGTGCGTTTATATTGTGTTTGCAGTGTGCGTTTACATTTTGTTTGCAGCGTGCGTTTATATTTTGTTTGCAGCGTGCTTTTACATTTTGTTTGCAGCGTGCGTTTATATTTTCTTTGCAGCGTGCGTTTATATTTTCTTTGTAGCGTGCTTTTGCATTTTGTTTGCAGCGTGCGTTTATATTTTCTTTGCAGCGTGCGTTTATATTTTCTTTGTAGCGTGCTTTTGCATTTTGTTTGGTAACGTGCTTTTACATTTTGTTTCCCGAAGGTTTTCACTACACTATTAGATCGCGAGTATGTGAGTTAGATTTAACAAATATAAAACATTTTCCGTGTTGATAACGTGCTTTTACATTTTGTTTTCGAAGGTTTTCACTACACTATTAGATCGCGAGTATGTGAGTTAGATTTAACAAATATAAAACATTTTCCGTGTTGATATACAGTTATATCAACAGGAGTGGAATTCGGAAAACGAGAAATTGTATGGAAACACGACGCCCGAAGAGCGGAGTGTTTTCATACAATTTCGAGTTTTCCCAACTTCCACGAGTGTTGATATAACTATATATCAATACGGAAAAATGTTTTATATTTTTTTAATAATACAGCGATGTCAAAAGCCCGAAGGATGAGAAAAATTTCCGTGTTTACGAGCGGCGGAAAATTTCCCGTGTTGACATTGAGTTATATCAACACGGCTCTTAGCCAATCAGCGTTCAGAATTTTCAAATGCTATATTATAAATTAATTTTGTGTTTGCAGTAAAATATATTTAGTTTGTTGTGAATTTGTTTTGAATGGTGTTGTTCTTTCTGGGCCACCGTACCAACGTATTATCATGTTGATATTATTTTGATACTTCTTACCTTGTCCAGCAGATTTTCTTCTCTTGATTGTTTCATAATCTCAGCAGTGTCGCCAACAGCCAAACCAGTCAATAAGTTTGTTATGCCGATGGTAACCAAGATAAGGAACACGACAAGCAGCAATCTTTGTAGGAAATGAAAACCAGCAATCGCGTTGTTCGGTAAGAAAGTGTCTCGGAAATCAACCTCACCAGTCATCATAACAAAAGTTGTTAGCAGTGAATTGTGGATATTGGTGAAGCCTGGATCATGAGACATCAGCACGAAGAACGCCATTGCAAATGCAACAATGAATAATACGACCATTGGTAAGACCTGTAAGGAGATAAGAATTGTTATTATTGTGCATTTTTCACTACACCTCAATTTATTTTGCTGCTGGCATGCAGCCACGTGACTTTTCACTAATGCCGTTATTGTTTGCGGCATAATTTGTTTGTCGTAAACATGACTTCGTGGGAAAGATGAGGATGTATCATTAATTTTTTCGCGATCATATATATATATATATATATATATATATATATATATATATATATATATATATATATATATATATATATATATATATATATATATATAGGCTATATTTAAGTGTTAAGAGAGCTTGACCGTAAGAAACACAAAATGTGTGTCAGATATGAAAATATATATATATGGGCTATATTTAAGTGTTAAGAGAGCTTGACCGTAAGAAACACAAAATGTGTGTCAGATATGAAAAACTGAAAGTTCTTCAATTTCCCTCGATTTCATATACAGTGCAGACATATCCAACCCCACACATTTTCTGAAGTCCCAGCCATGAAACAAAAAATGAAGAAAAGTTAGAGTACTTCAAAAATCGAACCAAAAATGACGCGAAATGTCCAAGAAATTTCGCTACACAAAGCTGTATTAAAAAATCATGCGCTGTGCTGAACGCGCATTATCAGTTTTGGTCTGCTGTTACAATATGTTTTTAGAACATATGAAACTTTTTCCTGATATCTTTTCTCCTTAAATCGAAATGTCAATGACTTGGTTATTTTCGATCAAAGATGGTCGAAATTTACGGGTTTTCCAAACTGGCCAAACTACGTCGTGTGAATCGCCAATTTAAATATGGTCATATTTCGTTATAAATGTACATATGCATAATTTGTTAGAGCTAGGATGTAGTCATTCGACGACGATTTCAGATGTTTGGGATTCTTTTGTGTCTTGGCGAAATTTGATCCTAAACAAGTACAAAATTAGCGTAAGTGAGTGCTTGGATTCGTATTAACTGCAGTCGTCACTGAGAACACTCGCTTCACTTCTTAAATATCAGTCGTGAATTTTTAAATCAAATTTACACTATGAAAAACACATTCATGTAGATATGCAAATACTATACAAATTATCAGTTAAAATGAAAACGTTGTCGTCGAACGGAAACTGAGCTGAAAAAGGTCACAATGCAGGACAGTAAGCGTCATCGTTTCAAGAGTGCGACGAATTATGTCGTGGTCTAGTACGAAAGAAATACTTCTTCCAAGATTGTTTACAACATAAAACTAGAAATACATGCGTGCAACAACTCGTCACCTATATATTCTCCAAACATTGTTTCAACATGAAGTATTCGTGATTACGTCAACACTGAACGCAGGCCCGGGTTGCTCACGCCATGTTAGTCATGGCAACACGATAATTGTTTTTTATTTTTTTGTACAAACCTGCAAACAAATTATAGATGAAACTTGAACACTTTTAAATACAGAACTATCAATTTCTACAATATATGAAGTAGGTATATTGTGTTGTTTTCCATGGGCTTTTTTTAATTTAAAATTCAAAACGAAACTCTACGTAAAACGTTTTTAAATGTGAATAGAAATCAACTGCTTATTGCCGATATTAAACTCTTCAACTTGATCTTGAACATTATATATCACTCGCACTCTGAAAGGAAATAATTTTAATTCTTACAGGACGCTAATGAAATAATTTGCTTTCCTTTTTATCATGAACTTCTATAAACGTTAATTAACTAAGAAACTTTCGCATACAAGGCATGTACGGAAAGATTTAAACAACAAGAACAAAGTTTATAATAATAAAAAGTCATACATAAACAACTGAAACAAACTTTAATTTCCCTATACTTTAGAATTTCTCATACTCAAACAATTCTTATCGACGTCTTACATGTATTTTTTACATTTTCCCCTTCTTTACTCCCGGCAAACAGCCATAATTTGAGATCAGTGAGATGACCACCCATACAACATGCGCCCGCGATATTTGATGAACTTTAAACTTCGCTAGAGCGTTCCTTTCCCCGGGTGTAAATAGCCGGGCGGAATTAGTACACTCGCGTCGGGCTTACGCCCGGAACGGCGCTCGGCGCCGTTGGCTCAGAAATAATAATTGATTAACTACGCTGTTATTAACCCGGAAGTGACTTTCTCAACAAAGTTGGGAACAAACGCACGCACCAAGACTTGTGCATTATAGTTTAGATTTTGTTACATTGGTTTCTTACGTAGTTCTTGAAGCATAAAGGTAAGTCGATTGTATTTTTCATGTTTCCTTAGCTTCATCTCAAAATTTTAATTTAAATTACATAGCAATATTAAACTAAGTGTTTTCAAAATGTTATGTAACTTCCAACGACAAAAATATTGATGGAAGAAATGTTTCTGCTCTACCATCAGATTTAAATTAAGTTTGTATTTTGCCGACAATGGGGGCAGCTCATTACGCCTACGGAAACTACTCGTCTCTTCTGGGGACAAAACAAAGTCAAAACCGTCGACACTAAAGTGAAAGAATAAATAGTTACACATTGACAAGAGTTTCGTTCTAAACCGGAATTTCAATCTACGTGTCTGCAGCATATTTTTGTTCACACTACACTTTTACTGCTTTACACCGATCGATAGTGTTTTTTTGCTTGTCGTACTGTAGATTTTGATTCGCAACGTAATATAAAAAACGTAACAAAAGTTATTTCAAAGTATGTGTAATAAAATGTAAGTCGTATACAGAGTACATGAATGTTCGATACAAAATGTAAACAATTAAATATGCAGCGATAAAAATAACTATTACCCTTCTAGGAAAGATTACAAGATGTAAATAACTAAATATGCTTGCATGTAATTCCGCACAAACGTACAGACTCACAGGAAAATTATAAAGCGGACAGACACCGCAATTTAAAGCCTGTGTAACCTTGGGGCTTCGGAATTCAACTAGCTATATCTTCGCAATGAATTGGGCCATTACAAAATGGACTTCACATTTGAGGTTCAAACAGTTCGGAAGGGAACCTATATCTATTATATATATATTTTTTGGCGTCAATTTCGTCACATTAATTTCCCGCCAAAAATGTAACAATTTCAAAAGCAAAACACATCAGATTGTTAGAAATGATATGTTCTATGTAAATGCAAAATATCGTAGAAGACACAAAACGGTCAAAGTGGATTAAAGAAAATATGGAAATATTGTTCCAGCGGGGTTAGGTAAGATACGGGGGACTGGACCCGAACAGAGTGTAAGAGGAAGAGACGCGGTCTACACACGCAAAAGTCTCACATCTTGTACCAAGTCTGCAAACAAGTTGTCTTGGCACTGCTTGTCCCAAGTTGTCAACAAAGTTTGGAACAAACAACAAGTTTGGAACAAGCTGTTAACAATTTGTAACAACTTTGTTAACGTTATCAGACTTGTTGCAATATTGTTCCAACATGTCCGATACAATCATGATAGAACAATATTTTTACAACCTTGTGTCAGCAACCTTGTAACATCTTGTTACATCCTGACTGTATCAGTCTTGTTAGTTGTTAGAACAACTTTGCTACAAGTCGATAATGCCATCAAGCTTGTTACAAGTTGTTAACAGCTTGTTCCAAACCTGTTACAACAACTGAGAAAATTAAGCAGTTCAAACACAACATGTTGACAGATTTGTAATAACTTTTTTGCAGACCTGGAACAACTTGTGCGTTTTTTACGTGTGTATGAACTTTCTTGTTCAATACACACATGTATTTTCATGACGTGCTAATATTTCCAACAATTTTTACCAAGGGATATGCCGCAGTTGTAGAGGAAAGATCTCGAACATAAAGGAAAAACTTCCATGTGTTGAAGAATCAACAACAGAATGCACCCGTGAAAAAAAAACGCACTGGTACACATGCAAATGTGTATACAACCGTTGATGTCTCACCGGTCCACCAAAGCCCTTCACCATATGTAGAACCGGATACTCCTGGATACCAACCACAGCTATTCTTACCAGCTCGTTCGAACAAGACTTCAGACAAGAAGACGTTAGAAGAACAGAATAACCTTTTAAGAGTACGAGACTTTAGTCCAGTTCGTTATTGCCTTAGAGACCCATGGTCATCTGTGTGAGATAAAACTAAACGGGAACATTTACATAAGATTAATCAAGGTGTATAGGCAGTTATTAGGACCATTGCCCCTGGCAAGGAAGATGATGTTTGGTATGATTTTATGAAAGGACAGGTAGAGAAACGCACTAGAGAGATCTCCAATGCAAGAAACTATTATTTAAAAGCCCTAATTGCATCGTATGGTGCATCGGAAACGAAGGTAACAAGAATACAAATTCTTTCAATTATTGTTGATCTTATGCCATATAATGACATCAAAAAACTTCTTCCCGAAGTAACTGATTACAAACTCTATCAAGCCAAAAAACAACTGCCAACACATGGGAGAGGACAACCCTTACCCACAATCACGAGATATCGTACTGGGGTCACTCTGCCCAAAATCGACCATCTTATAGGATTTATCTCCGAGCCAACCTTTGTTCAAGAGGTGGCCTACGGGACGAGGAATCTGAAATTGTCCTCAGGTGAAAAAATAGAACGTGGTAAGGAATATAATCACATCAAGAATACTCAAGCAATACACGGCATATTGTAAAGAAACTAGTTTTGGGGGGCCTCAGCTCAAGGGAGCTCTACAGAATTTTGAGTTTTTGCCCAGCAAAGCAAAAGCAAGCCTTGCAACGTCTCGACAATACAAGTGCAGATGGCTTGGTGAAAGAGGAAGATCACTGGAATGAGTAAGAAATGTTATCGATGGTCTTACAAACCTCAAACGATATTTGAAATCGACTTACCGACTTTACATTTCCAGCGAATCAGAATGTGCAGATCATTGCGATGTTTATGCAATGAGTGATCCGGACAATAACGAATATTCTCAAAGGTGATGCGTCATGCAGTGATTGCGATCGATTTGAACAATTGTTTGATGTGATATAAACGTCTTTTGCTGACCAATTAAAAAAAAAAAAAAAATGAAATTAACTCACACAGTCACACACACAAAGGCTTCAAGATACTGTGTATAATTTCATTCACAACTGTATTTTAAACTACATACATACGGAAACCAACCTGGCACTCGACCAGTTAATTGCTTCAAAATATTCTGCTTTGATAACTACATGTTTAATACACATGAAGAATTTCGTTTCCATAGATGTCCCCTTTGATTTATCCTTCCATAAAAGTGCAATAAAATCCCAAGTGATATTCTTTGGTCAATACATAAAAAATTACTTATAATCAACAATGTTTATTTAATTATTTATAAAACGTCGCACACAAGCATCTGCATTGGATACAAAATAGACAGTTTAATAAAAAAAGATCACTCGACTAGTTTTCTCTCAGTTTGACCTTCGTCCTTCGGTCTTTGATAAGTATTACCGTTAGCTATTCCACAATTTGTTGAGAGAAAGCTCGTAGAATGCATGGATAATATATACCCATTCTTAAATCTCACTAGGAATGTTTTATTTATCATAATAATATAAAAACTCGAAAACGTCGCGCCTTCGCGCTGCCATGTTTGATAAAATCAATCGGCTCCGCTCCCCCCGGATTGAAAACTAAATTATTACGAAATGTCCAATATTTTTGGAGTCACATGACCAGTGTATAGCAGGGCCTTTGCTTCCCGCACCGGAACCTCCGAACCGCGCAAAGGCCATGGGTACGAGGCTGGTCAATGCTTTCCTCAAGAACTCTCAGTTGTTGAAGGAGGTGATAAAGACCAGGCGTACGTATTTGCTGCTGCATCTAAAAAGGCCCAAACACACAATGTTCATGATATAGAGGACAATGAAGGAATCGGAGATAGTACAATGGATGAGTTAGCAATGTTTCATTGTCTTGAACCATGGTGTGTAAAACAATATGTTACTTGGGGAAGACTACAAAGACACATCGCGGCAGAAAAGCATACATTCCAACCAAAAAATGAGCCTGTTGAGGATATTGTGAAGCGAAAGTGAGCGGGTTTTTTTACAAGAACTGTTCCAGTAGATCATGCTAGCATTGGAGTTCAACTTTCCGCAGTTCAACTTATCGAAGGGAAGAATTTACCTCAGGGATGGGCTTTAAAGAAGAAATCCAAAAGGTTTCCCATTAAAGTCAAGCAGTATTTGAGCGAGAAGTTTCAAGTTGTTGAGACAACTGGCAATAAATCAATCCTCTTCAGGTTTCAGTAGACGTGAGGTGTGCAAGAAACGAAGATGATAAACGCATGTTTCCAGCGTCCGAGCGTTTGTCAGCACAAGAATGGCAGCAGCAAAACGGAAAGGGGTTCTTCATCGATCTTCAGTAAGCGACGGCGACATCCAAGACATTCTCGATGATATGGAAGCTGAATATTAACGAGTTCAACAGAAGTGCAATTTGCAAAGAGGCGATCGATCCAAGAAGCCACTGAATCTCACATCATATATGACCGTTACGATGGCTCTGTGATTTGAACAGACAAGGAAAACTTCAGTCAAAGTTTACAGTACTGCCAAGAAATAACTTGTCCCCGCGTCTGCCCGCGTCCTGCCTCCAGAGCGCCCTCGTCCGGCCTCCATGACGCCCGCGTCTTGCGTCTGCTTTGCCCGCGTCCTGCCTCCAAAGCGCCCACGTCCAGCCTCTAGTTAAAAACTGCGTCCGCTTGGACGCAGTCGTCGTAACATAATGACGCCCGCGTCTTGCGTCTGCTTTGCCCGCGTCCTGCCTCCAAAGCGCCCACGTCCAGCCTCTAGTTAAAAACTGCGTCCGCTTGGACGCAGTCGTCGTAACATAATCGGAAAAACGAACTAATATTTGCATCATACTCGTAGTTTGTCGTGAGAATACAGATCAGTGTCACTGATAGGAGAAGCAAAGAATAAAAAGTTGAATCCGAAAACGAGTTTCATTGAACCTAAGCGTTACATTTAGTATAACCATTTTATAATGTTATACGTTAAACTACAGTAAGCGTAGTGCTTTCACAATACAATCACGCGTACTTGAGTGGCGATTGAAGCGTATGTGACTGTATATTGGAGCGTAAAATAAACATAAACTATATATAAATAATAATGTGACCCTCCTTGGGAAAACGTACGTTAACGATTTTGCATTAAAACGGGCAAAAAAACGGTTAACGAACTGATAGTAAACGTTTTGTCAAATCGTTTCAACCGATCATAAAAACGTTTTAGACGTTTTGAGTAAAAAATGCGAACGGGTAAAGACAAAAAATTAAACGGCTCTACGAACGGCTTTAACAAACCGTTCGAACGAAATTAAGAAACCGTTCAAACGATATTCGGTAACCGTTTCAACGGATCTGCACAGAATGGTATAAAGCAGTGAACAATAATATACAAAAACGGGCAAGTAGGCTATACACTGATCCAGAATTAACCAACACACATTTATCCAAAAGCATGCGTATAAGCACAAACAAAATAGATCACTTTAGTGTTTATAAACGTTTCAAGTTTTATCGATTTCCGTACCAACAAATTAAGAGACGCTAAAGCCGGAGATACGCGGCGGTGTTTTTGCATAACACGACACAGCTGAAATACATGAGACTTAAGCCCGTGACTTAAGTAAGGTCTCTACTGTAAACGCGACTATATACGCAATCAGTTATATTTATAAGGCCTAAAACTAAACGTATAGTACCTGCAGCTATACGGAACAAGAACTAGAACCATTATCTGTGTTGATGGTACCTGTCGCGAGTGCTATATTGTCTCAATTATAGTAAATGGCTCAGTATCAAAAATCAGGTGTCCATTATAGCGTATTGGTAATTTTCTCTATATTAATGCCTGTGAAACACGGCACTGAGATCTAAAATGCTCAGTGCATGCTGAGTTAAATTATTGTTACTAATATTTTCCATAATTAATATATTAGTTAGCTCCGGAATATTAGGGAAAGATGCAGTCACAACGGATTTAATAGCGATAGGCCTATATCTGTTAAAGTAAAAGGTCAAGATGTAAAGGTATATAAACCAACTATAAACAGTTTGAACAGCAAATAAACACAGCATGCACGCAACAATTAAGGTATATTGCAGAGTACAGAAAGCAGAATAATGACGATATATTGGTATACTGAAACATTTGATGCTCTCCTTAAAATGTACTCCATAAACATGTACTTCCTTGAAATGCACAAAATCCTGTGAATTTAAAGTCATTATATCACGCTATTAAACTCACTTATCATTCATGTAGTCGGCTACATACATGCACCAACAAAAACACGCTCACATATCCTATGATTATAAGCACGAAGTATTTGACTTCGTTAAAGTTCATTTTATAAGTAAGCCGATACCTTAATTTACATGTTATATATAATATATATTTTATTCACCTACTTTCTTCCAAATATCGTGTGGTAGTTTATATAGTAGCAAAATCTTTTTATATCAGCCTAATCAAGAAGACTTTATCGACCAATTCCCTATTAGCTATGTTTTGCGCAATCACAACATCGCTATTTAAAACGTCTTTATAGCATAAACAACTATATATATAAGGCTGTTCCTGACTGGAACGTTTGGAAATTCCGCGCATGAGATTTTGAAAATTTAATAGTATTGTAAATATAGAAAGTGTTAAAATTGCGCGGTCGATATCTCCGCCGTGCGATACAGACATTCCACACTGGACTGGCTGTTTTCCCCTATTTATTTTGGGAAATGCAAAAATAGCTTGGAACACCTTAATATACACAACCTTTCCTGGTGGTCTTCTATTTTATTTTATTTAAAGAAATCAAAAATAAATAATGATTATTGAATCGGCATAAGTAGTTGACCACCAGGACTACGCTAACCTTACGACGTCTTCTCACTTCTGATGTCGTCCGTTTTAGTAAAAGAATACATAATGTATCTTCGTCTTCCCAAGTAACGTATCTTCGTCTTTTCAACTATCGAACTTACAGTCGCACGCAGGTATACACTCTATCTATTGGCGCAATTTGAAATTTGCAAGCTAATATTTCACTTGACATTGATGTCAACTTGCATAAGAATAACTTGATAATATTATACATGTTAATTTAATTATGCTTTTGAGAGAGTTGAATTTCACGCAGCTGGAGTATTTTCCAATGACTGAAGAGACGTCAGCACTTCTGCGGCTTTCTCATTTTAATTATAGTTGAGTTGAGTAAAATGGAGTGGCACTGATGCATGTATGATATACTATATAGTATCACATTATAATGGTTTATCGAAACGGAAACGGCGCAAATCGTACTCAAAAACCATGGCCGTACGAGGCACTTTCCGTTACAATTCTGAATTTATACACAACACTATTCGGAAATCGCAACTATTCGTTGAGACGCCGACTATCCTGATGCAATGATTCTGTATATAGGTTCGACTGTAATCATTTAAAATTTGTAATGATTGCAGTAATATATTTATTTAAGGCTTTAAAAATGCTTTAACTTTTTCGAAAATATTTTATTTTTCTAAATTAGGTAGATACATAATATTATATATTTAGGAGAACCGATCAGCATCTCAAATTATGTTTTTATAGAAGGTGCCTGCATGCATGCGAATCATTGAAATACCAATTGTATAAAGTATAATAATATGCATGTGGGGTACAATAGGAAATATACGACTAAGATCATTGTTACATGCAAAGACGTGTGGGATAATTAAATACCTTATGAAATACGAAATTATCACATCCATGCAATAAGACTATAAGTACTTTCAAGTATTAATATAGCTTTTGATGTAAAATAACATATTATTATTGGATTCGAAGCAAAGGTTTCGTGCAGTTTACATTATACTTTATAACATCAGTATGCACGAATAAACTTTTCAGTTTTGCTGCCTTAACCTAGGAAAGTTTTATTAATAGCCTAATAACTGTTTATTGCAAAAGCTTTGATTTTGTTCATTTAGTCGCTGTTCATTTGGTATCAAAATCTATTTTCCTGGTTTTAAACTCCATATGAAAAATTAAAGTTGTATTCAAGCACCAGTAAGAGAATTATATTCTGAGAGAAAATTCTACTCCTGAGTTACAAGGGAATATAAACTATTTCCTATAACATGATCACTTAATATCATAATCCGACAATTATTTTAATTAGGTTTATGGTGCCAGTTAGGTGTTGATATACAGTATGCCGATTTCCGTCAAAGTAAGTTGAGTTATCAATGTATTTAATTTGCCGTCGGGCAACATGCACAGTTATTGAATCTACGAAGTAGATTATTTGCTATCGACGTGTTAGCTGTTCACTGTTCACTTTTCAGTTACAAATCACGGCTTGGTCGCGAGACAATCCAATATGGCGGTAAAGAGGAGTTAAAATTTATGATTTATATTTATTCACACATTTAAATTTGATGACTTGTGGATGAAAATGGAGCGAAGGTAAATTAATCTTGGAACTACGTGTCTGTTTTGTAGTAGCGTGGTTGCTGTACACTTTTCAGCAAGGGCTAAGTTCGATCTTTTGGGAGCAAACATTCAAAGAGAAAGGACTTTTATTCACATTTTCTACTTATAAAGTTCCAAAGACCTAATAAAATACATGGAATTTGTTTCAAAGGTATGTCTATTGTGTATTTACTCATTTGTATGCGGATAGTTACTTGATATACTGTATAGTTATATTTTTAAATCGAAGGCCTGTATTTGGATAAATACTTTTTCACCGAAGGCATCTAAACGTTCAGTTGTATATTTTCGATTAATTTCTATTAGCAGAAGTGTATAAATCTAATCTGCACTCTACTTATTTGTGTTTTAAGAAAATCGTATAGCTTATTTGTGATATACGTGCATATTATATTTTCTGTGAAATATTTGCCATTTGTAGTTGACATGTATACTTACAAATCACATAAATATACTGCACCGACCAATGTTTAGCCCGAAGGGGCAAGGGGCGGGGATTTGACATTTTTTTGAAAAAAATCGTCAATTTCCACACCCCAGGGACACGACCATTGGTCAAAAAAGGAAATATTTCCCCACCTGGGGCTGGGGAAATGTGTTTCATGATCAAACTGATCAACCCAAAGTATTAGTATTCATGCGTAAGATGTTGTATTTCAACAAAGTGCTCAGACTATTAAATTGCCTGTTGCAATAATCTGCACAGCAGAAACATTAATTTTTTAGCATATTTTATGACAAAATTTAGAGAGAGGAGGCAAGAAACAATATGAAGAGCAATCGAATGTTGATGATAGTCCCCATTTTGATAGGATCTTTCGTATTGGAAGTGTGTTATTGATATATCGGATGGTGAAGTTAAAAATGTTTTTCGGAAGTTTACTCTGAACGGATGACCATAAAGAGTTGAATGTGAATGTGAATGTGGATGTGGAATGATTCGTGAAACTAGAAAAGAAAGAACCTTTGCGAAATGAGGTGGTTTTGAAGTCTTTGTTCGTTTTCTTTTCTAACTGCCTTAAGTACGTCTTTTGTGTCTTTGTAAATGTCATACTGTACGTTCTTGTTGGTGCTCGTCACCGCCCATAGATTGTTAATATCTACGTTTGGTGAGTATTTTAGAGCTGATCGATTCAACAAATGAATGTGAACAATAATATACACTTAATGTCTGCTACCGAGGGAAATAGTTAGTTTTGTTTTCCCGAGAGTCTCAATGTTTCCCGAGACGAAGTCGAGGGAAATATTGAGATTCGAGGGCGAAAAACTAACTATTTCCCGAGGGAACAGACATTAAGTGATTGTTATAAAGGGTGTATAAAAAAAACGCAACCTCGGAATTTCTCAAGAAATCGACATTGTTTTAAAGACAAAAGATTTTAGGCGCTTTGGAAATTAAAATAGCATAACTGTCAAAATTACTGCACACGCGAGTGCATAAATCAAAATTTATGCATTTATTTAATGCACAACAACAGTAATATGATCTATTAGCAATTCGATTTCAATTCCCAGGGGCCTAAAATCTTTTATGCTTAAGAATTGCAAAGTGAGATCTTAGGAAATTCCGAGGTTGCGTTTTTTTTATACACCCGGTATAGCGACGACCAAAAATCAACTGCAACAACATTCATATACAACAATTGTTTTTGTGGCAAAAACTCTATAGAGTAAACGAGTTTAAAATTAAAGAACCTACTTAAACGGTTTCGGCAGCATATCCTGTTTCCTGTTCTGTATTTTTCTTCCCTTTTACATTCTTTATTTGAACACAAACTTGGAAAATCATAGTTTCTAATTATCGTAGTTGTGCCGCCATTTTGTTTATTTATGTACGTGGCCGGTCGGAAGCGGCAACAATTTTTCACTTGTTGCCCGGCGGGAAACATTGCATTTATCTGAAGTCACGTGACCACAAATCAGCCAATCACGTTTGGTGTCCACGCTAGCTATATAACAATCTTTAATACATAGCTGTAGTGATTATATCCTAGAATGGAAAACAAATAAATGTGAACAATATTTATTACGCTGTTAAGGATGGTTTTATCAAAGCTTCTGTGATCACAGTAGGATCATATTATAAACTTAAGGTCAATTAACTTAAAATCACAGAAACTTTGATAGTGTAAGCCATCCTTAAAACATTGCAATCACAATGATGGCACTAACAGTGCATCCAACGTACGAAAAGCAATAAAAATTTATAAATTATGTATAACTATGTGCATCGAATTGTAAGTAAACTCTCAGTGCCGGATTAACCATACTGATATGGCAGAAACGGCATATGCCGCGGGCCCCGCGCTTTTGGGGCCCTGCGCTTACTCTCTTCTTTTTTTCCCGATTTTTTTGTTCCTGTTTCACCGCGGGGTCTAAACAGTGAGCTAGTGCGGGACCCCAAGTCCCCCAAAAAACGCGAGGCTTTGCAGTAAACTGTTCAATATTAAAAGATTGCTGAAGATCCCTTGTAAATAATAATAAAGTTAATGGTATAAACTGGGTTGAATTTCTGTTCGAGAAAATTACTGATGTCTAATTTTTTGTTTTGTAAACACACAGGAAACTTTTCAATGCACGAAATACATCCGATCTATATTTTTTAATCTTCCTGAATTTTAAACATTAAAATACAGGCCCAGTCAAAGTTATTGATACATATTCAGTACTGATCACTCAAATGAAAGCTTTATAATTAAGCTGATCTATATAGGCCGTGACATGGACTCGTTCCCATGCTTGCGAAACAAATATTCAAAATTCCCATCATCAAATGCCCACAACCCGGGGTGATCTTGCGACATCAAAATCCTCCCCGTCGGGCAAGCAAAGTTGTTCAAACCCCCGCCCTCGTCCGCCCCTTGCCCCCCGTGCTTTACATTGATAGGTGCATAATGTGATTTGTTTGAAGTCACATTAATAGCATATAGATTGCATTGTAATAGCCCGTCTCCCAATATTACCCAATGTATGGCATGTGCTTGCTATGGTAATCCTCCTATCGGTCACCCTAAAACATGTGTGAGGGGCTGCTTATATGTTCAATGTGGAGGAAAGCCAGCCCAGGTAACCCGGCTATAGCTCGCTTTCCCTGGATGAATGTATGTTTACATGAGCCTCTTTAGATGGGCAGGCTCGCTAAATCGAATCACCCAGACTGAGTTATTATATATAATAGAAGCACATTTTCCAATAACCGATATCATACTTTTAAAGACAGTTTCGAAATGTAACTCACAAAAACAATTACCGAGATATTTTAATCGTTTAAGTGGCAATGCGCCCTACTTTATTATTTTACTCTGTCTAACATCAGACAATTTTACTCTTCAGGAGGAGAATCTGTCCCTCAATGGGTTAATCAGACTATCTGCCCATAGGATGCACCCTGTTTACCATGTAAGTGGCAATGTGCCAAGATGTGCCCTACTTTATTATTTTACTCTGTATTACGCCTGACGATGTTACCTGTCAGAGGGATAGTGCTTAAATCCAGTACATGCACTTACAAAAAAATTGTCCGACAATGAAAACATAAACTTAAAGATGTTCAGATTTTTGTGGCAAGGCAACTTGCCCAATCGCGCAAGCAAGATAAAATGTTTACTTGCCCGTCATGAATTTTACTTGCCCGTCACGATTTTCACTTCTCCCCGGCTGGACAAGTGGGCAAGTGTTAAGTTACACATCTGCTTGATTTGTATAGCAGAGAACAACCTAAAACAACAAATTCATTGTCACTCAATCAATAATTTCCTTCTGTTATATATCAATCTTGTATATTTTATCTTAATTAATAGTGGTTGTATTTAATATGAATTCATTATATCCTGTGATGCTGCATGAAAAATTATCGAAGCATCCCAGGAGAAGGCAAGTCATCTACACAAGTGGCAATATTTATAATCATTAATGGCATTCTAAGTACTTCATGGTCTATTTGGAAAAGGTTATTCTTTTGCTGGGGAGCATGTTTATGGATTACCAAACCACGCAATTTAAGAAAAGGACTAGGAGTTGCCGACTGATGGTATAGTACAGCTTGTTTTGTACTAAAATTTAACTAATGGACTTGCACGATATATATATATATATATATATATATATATATATATATATATATATATATATATATATATATATATATATATATATGTTTGATTGAGCACTGACAGTGCATGTTGTGTACTTTACTTGTAAATACTCAAGATTGAACAAAATGTTTAACCCTTTAAGAGGCAATGTGCTCTACTTTATGTCCAATGCAAGGTATATATGCTTGCCACTCAATGGGTTAAAGTCTTTCTGTAGATGGAAATATTAAACAATAACTATGTAATAGCTATTGTGCCGGGAATGGAACCCTTGTGATTCGGATCAGCTCCTTAATTGCAAAAAGTTCATCAAGCCCCAAGAGTCAATGAAGGTCACCAAGAGTTCATGTACCGTATATAGTACTGGTGTCATCCCAGTTTATTTAATATACTACCAATGACACCAACATGGTCTATATATGTACAACAACTTGTGGTAACCTCTTGGCAAACAGACACTTTAAGTCAGAGGGCTGCAGTAGAATTGAAGGGCTGCAGGTTCTATATTCATGCTGGCCGACTTGCAATTGCTCTCAGTTATTTGAAATTTGTTCGTTCACTGCAACCAGGTATATCAATCATACATGTTTCGCTCGCTACTCTGGTTTAAATTAAAGCCCAATCGAATTGTAATCAAGACCCAACGTTTCGACACTCCAGTCTAGTATCTTCTTTAGGGGTGATCTATATTTGCAATTGTTGCTTCTTAAATATGCAAGGGATGACATCACCGGCCAATGAGTTGCATGTATTCTTCTGGCGAATAGGCACCGTCATCCCTATTCACAGCATAATTTCTCATATTTATATTCCATGCTTCTAGGCATAGTCTTTGACCATAGCGATTGTTTGTGGTACTTACTTTAGTGTTTTCCCACGCAATCTCGTGTTTGGTGTCACACACACGTTCTGTTAAAGCCAATTTTCCCTTGTTTAAAGTTGAAACAACCCTTTGATTTTCTTTTAGCCATGTAGCAAACTGGTGTTTAGACTGACCCAAATACTTTTTCTCGCAGTGACGGTATGGTATAGAATGTACTGCATGAGTTTTCTGATTTGTTTAACAGGATCTTTTGGCTTTGCGAAAATGTAGCCTAAAGTCAAATAGGGTTTTAAGGCGACCTTATTAATATTACATGCATCTCATTGGCAGGTGACGTCATCCTTTAGGTATTTAAGAAGCGATAATTGCAACTTTAGATCACCCCTGATGAAGACACTAGACTGGAGTGTCTAAACGTTGGGTCTTAATTACAATTCAACCGGGCTTTGTAATAATTTATTTAAATCAGAGTAGCAAGCAAAACATGCTCTCAGTTAGTTCTATGAAACACATGTTAACTGTTCAGTTTCCATTTAAAATATCCATCTACAAAAACCCAGTAATCAGTCTGCTATTATTGCTTTACTGGAGTAGGTTCTTGATTGTCTCCTATATTTAATATTGGCTATTTGCAACATCCTGCAATCCATCATATTGTACACATATTCCCATGATATCATCAGTAAAAATTTGGACTTAGAACTGCATTCAAAGAATGTTATCGAGCGTAAGAATGTATCATTATATGCTAAGAAAATCGTATTTCGTGTTATAATACTGTATACCTTATATATAGAGGGATAATAAATTATTTTGACTTAAAAATGTCTTTATTGATTTCTAAGGTTAGTTAGGTGGGTTACAGCAGCACGCCTTAAAGATGCTGTCAAGTCCGTTCTGCGCATCGGTTCTGCTCATAACAAAAGGGGACCCACAGATGTAAACATTGCCCAAATTTCGTATTTTATGAACTTTTTCTGAATTGAAACTCTGGTTTATATTCATTTACGAGCATACTAAACCACAACAGTGTTATATAAACTGAGCGAAACGCAAACAAAGCGTTTGTTTACATTACGGACTTGACAGCACCTTTAAGGTGTGTTACTGCAGCACGCCTTAAGGTGTGTTACTGCAGCACATCTTAAGGCGTGTTACAGCAGCACATCTTTAGGCGTGTTACAGCAACACCAATGCGTGCTAACAAACACACCTTTTCTCAAAACACACCTAAAGGTGTTTTGTTTTCTGGCATGCATAAAACACACCTTAAGGTGTGCTACTGTAACACAACTTAAGGTGTGTTGTTTTCTGGACATAAAAGGTGTGTTGCTTTAGCACACCTTTTTTAAGAGCGTGATTGTGTATTAAAATATTTCTCTTACAATTCTGCGCGTGTCGTTGGTTCAGTAGTTATGTTGGTTGTATGTAAAACAGTTCAATGAATAACTTTGCAGTTTGAGCTGTTGATATCATAGCGACCACACTATAGTAGTATTTTAGTAAAGTTTGATAGTCATTTGATAGCTGTATAAAAGCTAAGCAAGTATACTTTTGATGTTTTGATATCATTCTAGTTGAAATAGAATAGATAAATGGTATATATGGGAATATTCATTTTCAACCATACTTGGCAGTTGGATCCTATGAGACACACAATGTTCAATTTTTTTCACTGTGATTTATTAAATACTGGGTATTACTGTATATGCCTGTTAAGCCATGCTTATTAAGTACAGTATAGTTGGTGGTATTTGATCAATACCACTTTATGGTATTACATAGAATGTAGTGAATTAAAAATATGACAACATTTCAGACAATCAGGCTTAAATATTTGTATGTTGATATCAGTTGCAATGCCAACTAACACGTATCAGTTGCAATGCCAGCTAACTCGGTGCTACGCATCTCGTCGGCTCTCAACTCATATACGACTCGAGTTCGCTGAATAACTGTTAAATAACTGCTGAATATAAATTATTCTGCAATCTGATTGGCTCTTCACTAGCAAGACATCAGCTCATGTCCTTCTAGTAAAGAAAACAAGATGGCGGCGCACAAGTTTTGCGAACCACAAAACAATATTCTTTTTCAATCACGGTATATGAAAGTTTCTTATCTATTTTATCAATTAACTTTTTCTAAGTTTTAATAACAAGGAGAGTAAACCATTTCCATGAACTATGGCTTAATGATTTATCTATGATTTAAATTTATTCCATTTCAGCGAAAGCAGACAGCAGGTAACTTCAATTAACATTTTAAAATTTTTCGAAGCATTTCGTGTTCAATTTTACATTAAAATATAGCCCATAGAATGCAAGATAACATACGTACTATATAAATTTTAGAAATTGATAGTACCATAGTTAAAAGTGCAAAACTTTTATTAATTTTTGCAGCTTGTACAAAATAAACAATGCACATGTATTCGTGTTGCCATGGCTAACATGACGCGAGCAACACGGTCCTGCGTTCATTGTCGGCGTGATTCGGAATACTTCGTGTTGAAACAATGTTTGGAAAATAAGGGCGAGGAGTTGCCGCGGGGATGTACTGCTGGCCATGGTAGTTAATATTTTTTCCGTTTTCGTCCAAGTTACCGACTATTTTCTTTTATGATTTTATGTAACTTACTTTACAAATGGAGAGAAAGACTTTTTTTGCCATGATGACGTAGATTCCAAACAGGGAGATGCTCTTCATGAACCAAATAAAATTGATCCAGCTGAAAAACACTGCAATGGCTCCAGATGCTATTTGAAAGCTGCTTTTTTGGTGGCCAGATTGTATGACGTAAGCAATAGCGCAAACGTAAGTTATCCATTCCATATAGTTGTTAAAATGATGAAAATAATCCTTTCCGTGAAATTTTACCTAAACGAACACAAACAAGGAAAATTAAGAGCTTGAGAAATTCTAACAACTTCCGTGCAACGACATGAGTAATTAGGAGAAGTTTGGACAGGCCACATATAGTTTTGTACATGCTTAATTTATTTGATCCTAAATGCAACTGGTTAGAAGAAGAATTAAGCACCAGAACATTTACATCACACGAGTAATATCACATAATTATAACGTATACACCAGAGTAACAGCGGGCATTGAAGGAAAGCATTTCCAAAATGTCATTAATACCATAAATGAGTAACCAAATTGTCTTTGTAGCTCAGACAGTAGAGCATCGTTCTAGAGATGCGAAGGTCTCGTTTTCGATTCCCAGAATTATGCATGAAAAGGCTGTAACCAAATGAAATGCGCAAGCAAGGACCTATACTGAACTATAGAGGTTGTTGTTTAATCCATGCTTAAACGAACAAAGAGTATGGAAAAAGCACAGAGCTCTGTAACAACCTGTAATTGACAGATTCTCACCGACTCGTTTTGCTTATAATGGCGTTGGTGAAATTATACTAACCAATCATGAAACTAAATGCATAGTTTAAATGCTATTGGAAAAGTATGTCGTAGAATTTTGGAAAATATTGAACATTTTCGGCTTGCATCTAAACGCCCGGCATGTCAATGTAATATTGACTAACATCACAGAAAGTATTGGTAAATGATAATTGTAAAAGAAGGTACCTTACTTGTATTAAAATTCGAGCATACTAGAATTCGCGCAACACTGGGTGCACGAATTTCAGTACTGCGCGAAATATAATCCTCGCGAAAAGCTTATTAAGGCCCATGCACACGATACGACTAGTCGTATACGATTCTTATCCTGACGTATGTATTCGAATAAATGCGTGTAAAATGTCACATTTCACACTTTGCCATAAACTAATGAACAGGAATAGTGGCGTGGGCAATCGTATAGATGGGCCTTTAATAATCGCAAATCATTGTGATAGTAAATAAATGCAAATCAAACGATTTATTAACTGATTCTATTACTATTTGTATTATGTTATTGTATTCGGAAAATGCTTAGTTCTTGTTGGTATTTTGAACTCACGATTTATTGTTATCATATGAATTTTGCTTACATTTCATAATTTGAAGCCATTTTTGAGGTCAATCGCTTTTTTATTAAGATGGCTCAATACAGTTTTTGAAAAATTGGAAAATTCACGATTTAGACGCGTATGTTTGGATAATTACTACATGTTGATAAACAAAAACACCTTACTTATATCATGGATAATAAAGTAAAAGGATAGCTAGGAAACTAGCTGACGTGAACTAATGTTTCAATGGGTTGATGGCGTGGTTGGATGTTTAAACCTAGTTGCAAACCAAATTCTCAAAAACGTTTCGTAGCAAAAAATGTAAAAAAGAAACAAAGACGAAAAACATTTACCTTGAATACTTTGTCGTTGCTGAGGCATGTTTTCAAAACAATTAGACCAGTTTATGCTTGAATATTACTCTTTCGGTTTAGACTGCGACGTCAGGAAGTTTCCTATCCAGTTATTTTATAATCCATGCTTATATTAAACAACATCTAAAAAGTTTGAATTTTTCCACAAAAGTTACACAACTGCCGTTGCTATGGCAACAATGACGTTACAAGATGGCGGATATTTTGGCTTTAAAGTAATTTACCTCGTAAACGACATCGGTGACCCCCAATTTTTTTTAATGATTTATCTTAATATAATCAATTACTTTGATAATTTCAAAATATTCTGTGGAGCCTCAATTTTTAAAATTACGTAAACGTGATTATTCTTGATAATTAGTTTTTGGCTAAACAGAATTTTTTTAAATTGTCCAAATAATTGATTATACTAAGAGAATAAAGTAAAATTAATGTCCTCACCGACTGTGTTTATATATAACACGCATAAGAACACAAGGTTTGTGGGGTTGTGGAAGTGTGGGACAACTGCCCAATATATTGTATTTTTTTATCTGGGAAGAGCTGGGTGCTGAGCGGTTCCCAGGGGATATACTCGTATTGAAAAGCTGGATCTTGGGGAAAGTCGATTAGGACATATACTGATTTGCAGCTGGGTCCTAATCTGCCCAAGACATATACTTTTACCGCGCGGATTTTGAGCTGGGTTCTGAGTCGGCTAGAACATAGACTCCATTTAGAGCTGGGTCCTAGCCTGCCCTACAAGACATATACTCGGAGCTGGGTCCTGGAAAAAATGATCAGGGAAATATGTCTTAGAACACTGATCTGGCTCAGCACATATACTCATACGCAGAAATAGAGTGATTTTTGTAAATGGGAATTGGCTGTATGCCAGGTTGCCAAATTCCGTAAAGAAAACGTGAGGTCTATGGTAAACTTGCGACCTCATACTAGAGCAATAATTGCCTCCACAATCACACAACGATAGTGTGTTTGATCCCCAAACACCGCGAAACAACAATCGAGTTCATCTCACTCCGCAATCAATCGTTTTGAAACGTCTGTAGGGACATTTATTGGCGTGCGAATATATCTGAGGTAACAATCGGAAGACCATCTTCCTAGCGTTTGAATTAGCCAATGAGGCAAACGTTGGGACGCAGCTGTGGTAGCCGCTCCGATTCTAAAGCTATGGCTTGCATAGTGAGCAGGGTGATAACCACCCTGGGCCAAAAGTGTTCGTAGTTCCTTAGTAAATTGAAGACGTGATAAAGGAACACCGTTTGAATAGCAAAATAATGGTCCCGCATAGTCCGCTGACGCACGTGAAAGGTAGGTTTGAAGGGCCCTTACTGGACAATATACACCAGAATAACTGCCAATGGTTATCGTGGCTGAGGTTGGAAACGGATCGGGTTTTGTCGCTTTAATTCGTAGTTGCAGAAAAACCTCGTTATCCCCACGTTTTTTGTTATAAAAACTTACATCTGATCGGCAAAGGTTTGTTGAAGAATTATAAGGACCGGAGCAAGTCATTTCACCAATCCGCAAAAACCCGAAAAATGCTATGGAAATCGCTGCCCAATTCACGGTTTCATCATGTGTTGGTAATGTCCGTGAGTGTATTATGCGGTGAAACAATTTAAAATGGTCTAATGTAATTGGTAGGCGTGTCCTTGTAGACACTCCTTTTACTCGCTTTATACCTCGCAAAATATAGTGTAGGCGTTGAAATTTGGTAATTTGAAGGTCATAGCCGTTAACCAAATGCATATGGCGTACTGCTGCAAGATAGACTTTGATGGTGTCTGGATTTACCGTCTTAGCGAGAAGAACAGCAAAATAAATCAGAATGTTTTCCGTTGTTGGCAGAAAAGGCACATGCTTATGTAAATGAAATTGATAGTAGAAATTCATTAACTGTTTTTCGCCACTGCTATCAGTTTTAATCGTACCTTCAGCTAACGAAGCAAGTTGATAACGACATAACTCAGCGTCTAGAGACGAGAAAGGTCCTCTGGTAGAGGTCGAGGTTGATGGTCTGCATGCGGTGCTAGCCGCCGAAATCTGGTTTGCTGAAAACGGGAAATAGAATCAGCAATGTCATTATAATGGCCTGGCACATGTAAGGCTTTGAAATAAAAGTTATACTTCAGTGTTTGTAAGGTTAAAGCACGCACTAAGTCCATAATACGAGGGTTTTTTGAACGTTTGGAATTGATTATGGAAACCACAGCCTGGTTGTCGCAGTAAAAGACAATTCGTTTTTTTGCCCATAAAGGTACCCATATGTAGGAAGCTACAACAATAGCATAGACCTCTTGCCAATCAATGCTGATATTTTTTGTGTTAAATGTTTGGTGAGGCAACCATTTACCCTGAAACCACTGGGTGCGGAAAATCCCCCCAAAACCAAGGGTTCCGGAGGCATCCGTATAGAGAGAAAGGTTTGTAGAATTTTCCTAGAAAGAGTTGAGAAATAAACTTGTCCCATTCCAGTCTTTAAGAAAAATTTGCAACAATTTTACATCTTTGCGAAAACCATTCGTCAAGCGAATGTGATGATGTGGTTTCGAGATCCCCGTGTTAGATTTATGATACGTTGCAGAAAAGCTCGACCCGGGGCAATTACTTTGCATGCAAAATTTAATGTTCCAATTAGTGATTGGAGCTCTTGGAGTGTAGCTGACTTTTTTGTGTGCCACGAATTTAAATCAACAAATAGACGGTTCAATTTATCAGATGGAAGACGAACCTCCATCTTTTGTGAGTCAATGATAATGCCTAGAAATTCTATAATGAGACTGTGTTTGGGTCTTCCAGTTTTGTGTTCTGTAATAGGAACGCCTAACGTGCGGAATGTTAACAACATGCTAGAAAGGCTAGTTTGGCTTCCTTGAGAAGGCAGCCCAGGTTGGGCCGGTGGTTCCATGATGAGAAAATCGTATAGAATGTGCCCAACATAGCTTATGAGACACTTGTTGAGTGAAATCAACTCAAGTGCATCCAAAAGTTGATTGAAAATATACGGCGCACTACGCAGACCAAATGGCAACACTTTGTCAAAATAATAGGACTTCTTCCAATAGATGTCTAATAACTCCTAGTCGTCAGGATAAACAGGGAATTGACGAAAAGCAGATTCTATGTCAGTTTTAGCTAGATAAGTGCCTCTGCCTAATCGGATTAAAGCCGCAATTGCGTCGTCGATTTTTATGTACTGCAATGGAAAGTCGTCTTTCTCGATAAAGGAATTGATTGATTCTCCCGTTTCTGGAAACGAGAGGTGAAAAATGGTTCGAAATTTATCTGAATGCTTTTTAGGTAAAATGCCAATCGGCGAAACCTGCAAATTAGCAAATGGGGGATTAGTGAAAGGACCGGCTTAGCTTTGTGTCCAAGAGCAACTTCCTTCGCTAGGTCAGTTGAAACAATAGTTGGATTGTCAAAGGCAGACTTAAGGTTTTTCGAAAATTTGGACATGCGAGGACCATCGTCCGAGACGAGCACCGGAACACAAGTCTGAACAGAGTTTCAAAACGAATGATGAATCGGGATGCCCACAAAGAGCATCTTCAAACGCGTCAACGCGAATTGGCGTAACTATAGTATTGTCTAAAGGTGTTGAATTACTGCTATTATATATACTACACTTTAAACTAACAGTTCTATTTTCTGTTGGTCTTCGCGGAGCTACGGGCGGATTGTGAAGGGTGGTCGTCGTCGTGATCATTTTCCCCAAGAGATTGTGTACATTGGTACCCAGGATGGTTCCCCCACAGCCAATTCGGTTACATCGGTGAGTGTAAGGGCAAGTGGGTCGTAATGGGCAAGGTCTACCCCTGTTGTAGCTGTGGCAAATTCCATCCCTCGCTGCCACAGCTTTGTTTGAGGGTCCGTTAGAAAAAAGGGAATAATCTTCCCGCAACTGAGTAGAGCTAGCGGTGAAAATACGCAAACATAGCTGCATATCAATGTTGGCCCACCGCAATGTTCGACACGCTGTGGCTTTATTACGACATTTGTGGTCATATATGCACCAGCCTATACCGCCATGCGTTTTTGCCGCATGACGGATAGTTTCCATATACTGTAAAACACGGTGGCCGTACAAGACAGCAAATTCGGCAAGGTTGGAATAACTTTCTGTCGTTAGTTCGGAATATCACGAAACTTCCTCACAGGATGGAACTTGACATTCCTTAAAATCGTACGTTTTTTGTTTTTCGATATTGTTACATTTTGGCCGGAAAATGACGCCCCAACTTTGGCGCCAAAAAATAAACTCGAGTTAAGAACATGCTAGTCACTTTTTTGAAGAGACTGTACTGTAAGGATCTCAAAACTGTAAAAACATTGAAAGAGAGATATGGTGCCTAATAATCTGAATAATCCGCCATTTTGTTACTAAAAATAGATTTTTGTCGAACTTGGAATCGCCATATCTTCGGACTGCCTTGTTGTATTTTCAATGTTTTTACAGTTTTGAGATCCTAATTAGACAGTCTCTTCATTTTTTGGCGCCAAAGTTGGAACGTCATTTTCCTGCCAAAATGTAACAATATCGAAAAACAAAAAACATAGGATTTTTAGGATTCCATCCTGTGAGGAAGTTTCGTGATATTTTGAACTAACGACAGAAAGTTATTCGAAGCTTGCCGGATTTGCTGTCTTTTACGGCCTCCGTGAAAGTTTTGATGCACGATTTGGAAATTTTTGTACAATGATTAACATATACGTGTTGAAAGCAGTTGTCCACTCCTCAATGTTAATTAGTCAGCACTTGAAGGTTGAAGGAGTGTTAAGGAGATTCCGGTATAGAGGAAATTGCGCGGTGTTAAGGAGATTCCGGTATAGAGGAAATTGTGAAACCCACGTTGTCGGAAGAATCGGAACCAACATAAATTTTGGCAATAATTTAGCAAGTTCAAAAAACTCACGCGGTGTTAAGGAGATTCCGGTATAGAGGAAATTGTGAAACCCACGTTGTCGGAAGAATCGGAACCAACATAAATTTTGGCAATAATTTAGCAAGTTCAAAAAACTCACCACTTTCGATGTCACGAACGTATTTGTTTGGAATCTCTGGCGTGAATCCCCTACTGCTTGCAGGATTGAGGCAACAGGTCCATGGGATGAAGTCGGCTGCTGCTGAAGCTCGCAGGAACTTAAAAATGGAAATTGACCAAGCTGTTCTAGCCTTTCGAGTGGCGGTGGCGGGATAGTTGGCTGTTCATCTACACGAGTCACGGTTGTTGTGGCGTGTTGGCTTTCGAAAAACGACGAGATCGACTGCGAAACAATCTGTGTAATCTGCGCCATTTGGTCGGCGCTGAAGCTTTCGCTCGCGTTGGAATTAGATAACGTGTTGTGTACTGGAACGGTTTGAGTGTTGGATTGCGGCGTATTTGTGCTTAGACGTTCTCTTTCGTTCTGTACACGCGTTGTAAGTACCCGTCGGCCGCCAGCGCAGGAAAAGTTGAGTTCGCGGCAAATATTCTTCAACTCTAAAATGGATAACTCGCCCAAATTGCTCGCGGTATTTCGACGGACGGTTGAGCACTGGACGGTCGTTGATCCTGCTGACGAACTCCTCCTGATCGTGGTTTGCTAACCCTTGGCATTATCTTTGGTGAACGTTTTGAAATGATAAACATGAAACGATTAATTTTTTAAATGACTCTTTAAATCAGTCTTTACAGTTCGCAATCCAAGTAAGAATGGTGTCAGGCAGATAAAGCTAACTCGGATATCTGCCCATGCTTAACTATAGTTTCATTGTTATAGTTATGAATCGGTCAAACATAGTGGTTTGGACAATAATTAATAAACGATACTGGGTGCAGTAGCCTACGTGTTTGGCAAGCAAATAATGGAAGTCTGTTATAGAGTCTTCCTTTGTTTAGACAATAGTAGCTTTCGGGTTGGCTTAACGTAGACATTTTAAATCTATAATTTTTAGGTCTAGCGCATTGAGTATCGTCCATTAACAATAATTTGTACTCTTAAAAATTACCATTAAAAATAAGCCGAAATATCGGCTATCTTGAGACATCGTTCTTGCCATAGCAACGGCAGTTGCGCAACTTTTGTGCCAAAATTCAAACTCTTTGGATGTTGTTTTGTATAAGTAAGGTACCTTTCTAAATCGTTTAAAACTGAGCCACCTTTAGTTCTGTTAGACAGACCAAAAAGAACGCACACGAAAAATTACTTGCGCGAATTTAAAGCTGCGCGAATAAATCTCAACAAGGTGGGCGAAATTAAATCGCACGAATTTAAAGCTGAGCGAAAAAGTACGACGCGAAATTTTAATACAAGTAAGGTAGCTCATTACTCTGTTATATTCTTATAAATGTAGTTCCTTACAATTACAGCTACAGCTGCAGCAACAACTACAACTTCTGTTGTTTTGAAAAATAATTTTGTTGTTTAATTGTTACAAACCTGTAGAATTTCTTTAATGATATTTATTATTCCACAAATAAGGGTTATGGAGGACAATGCATACATTCCAGGTGATTTTAAATTGTAGGAACCTGACAAGGAAACAGAATAAAGTCTTCGTTTCAATTGATTTTATTATAAAATAAATTCCCTGATTCGCTTCAATCACTATGATTTTGAAAATTTCCAGAAAGTATAAGAAAAAAATCTAACATTTCCAAATTGGAGAGGCGTGGTGTTTCTATATCTCTTTGTTTTTAGCGAAATGCAAACACGAGCTGATCGGCAGATAGCCGTGTTTCTATAACTCTATATTCAGAACTATGCAAGTTTTCCGTCTTTATTTCTTCAAAATGGACTCTTTGGAAAAAAATTAAGATGAATACATAGCTATCAAAGCTATCTACCAGGGAGTTTTACCTTGTAAACGGAGGGTAGAACGAAGTAAAACAAAAACATGTTTTGGTAGTTTGGTTACGATGGGTGGTGGTTTGGAAGAACGAGAAAGTGCATGGAAACACTTCCCCTTCCACCTTAAGCGCCTGTGCATGATCTACCACACGCACATGTAAGTGAATAAGTAAGTGTGTATTTAATGAAATTACCTCGCAGCCATGAAGGTTACATTACTTAATGATTACAATTTATACTAATTTAAAACCAGTCATTTACATACATGATATCGTAATTATATGCTATTTACTTAACAGACTAGTAATTACTACCGCAAGGGAAGTGCTGCCTTAAAGTTGGAAATAAACGTTTAAAGATGCCCTACAGCCCGTATGTAAACAAACTCTTTGTTTACATGTCGGTGTCCAAAATATTGAATTTTATTCGTCAACTATGTATATTTTCATGATTCTAGAGTATAATAAAAAGAGGGCTCCTTTGTGCACATGCGAAGATCGGACTGTACCGCATCTTTAAATATTTGTGAATAAATTGTGATTTTCCAAATTCAAAAACAACAGCAATACCATCAGGATCAGACATACCCAAAGAATTTCTGGCATGAGGATCGAATAAATAGAAAAAGGAATTTATATCATGCATTAAGGCCATCATATACCAATCTAATATCAAAATAGCATCCTTACTTTGTGTAAAAGTACTCATCAAAGCTGAACCAAAGTAACTTTGGGAGCTCCAACTTAATGCTAATTTGTAATAATTGAATCTTGACAGTCCTTTCCATAGCTTATATACCAAATTGTTTCATCATTTTGTTTCTCATTGGGTTTTAACTCAATTACGATAGACAGTGTTTTATTGCAAGGAGATAGTATGTATCAAAATGCTTTTGAAAATGGTCTGATTGCACGTGAGAGATATTGTCAATCGATGAATTACCGACTGTTGTCCAATGGACGAATGATTTCCAGGCACACATACAGCCGAATGTGGCACAAATTCAGCCAAATGAGGCACAAATACAGCGCAATGAGGCACAAATTCAGCCAATTGAGGCACAAAACAGCCCGATGAGGCACAAATACAGCCCAATGAAGCATACTATGAAGTATTATCTAATTTCCCTGTTGTCCACTGCAAAACGGGTTTGAGCAGTTTAGAGCACCGATAAACACATAAACGAGCACTGTTTCCCTCGCGATTTTTCACAAAAAGAGTTTGTGGCCATGATGAATACTTCCACGAGCAACTAAGGACATAATTTATACTTAACAAACGAGTAAACTTCACACTGTAAATTTCAAGGAGTAACAATTGCCCCAAAATACGGGGTAATATGTTCTACCCCTTCCATTGGAGTAATTTGTACACCACTCTTAAATTAAGGTAACGGGACACCTTTTTTGCGTTTTGTGGAAAATCGCTACAGCGCGCTCAATATCAGTTCGATTTTAATCAAATTTTCACCAAATATTCGACAGCGCATGCAAAATATGGTAAAGTTGTGAAATTAGCAAATAATAAAATAATGTAAGAATTATTCAGGAAAATCTTAAATCGCGGTACCGTTAAGCTTTTGATTTGTGCTCCTGCTGGTTTTAATTTATACAGTTAAATTAGTTCGGAAATGTGTTCGGAAATTCTTGTTTATTTTGTCATTCCGCTGATATGGCGATTTCTTTGACGACTGCAAAATATTGCTGAATTGTTTGAGTGAATTGCTCTTTATTATTAAAATATCCAAAATTGAAAAAAAAGATTTGAAAATTTGAGAAAAATTGGTTAAAACTCGCTGGAGAACAACCCGTTTGAGAATCAATAATTACTGTAAAATTCTTCGGAAGAAAATTAAATTCGAATATTACATTTTCAATGTTTCTCTTATTGCAGCGAAATGTATTTTATTAAATATAAACCTGCGAGTTTTTAACATTTTTCGTTCAAACTTAAGGCTGATTTCCACTGTTCCGTTTTTCATACGTACGTATTTGCAGTAAAACTTTAAATCCGTCTTAAATGTTACTTATCAGATAACCAAATAAATAAAGCAACAGAATTTAGTGTTTCGCAATTTTTAGTATGCATTTGTTAACTTATTTGTAAAATATTTAAAAAATAGAACGATTCAAAGTTTTACGTGCGTGTACGTGCGTACGAAAAACGCAACAGTGGAAATCAGCCTTTAGTCAGATAGTAGAACTAGTCTACTTTCATGGAAACAATAAAAAAATTTTAGGCAAAATTAGCACTCAAAGGTGTTCTGTAAGCTTAAGGAGTAATTTTTATCCCATATAAAAATAGGGGTAATTTTTTCACCTCCCTTATAATTAGGGGAGTTATTTTTTCTCCATAGAAAAATAGGGGTAATTTTTACTCCCCAAAACAATACTGCAAGGGGAGCAATAATTGGCAAATTAGCATGCGCAAATGATGTGCATGTATTTACTCACACGAATCGCCTTAATTCAACATAATAAACATATCACTCAAATAACGTACAATCAATAAATGCTCTATTTGAGAAATTCATAAGTGAATTGTGAATTACTTTCAAAAGTGATTTCAAAAGTGATAATTAATTCAAAAGTGAATTACTTACACTACATCTAATACAATAAAATCATTCAAATACAGGCAGTGCAATTATAAACCATGCATGCATGCAGTATAAAAGATTTAAACAATACCATATTGTGGATTAAAACAAAACTTTATTACAGGTATTCATGCATGAATGAAAAAATTATAACATTAATACCAGCTTATGTCGTGTCGTGTATGGTCACCATGCACGCTTGCCTTTCAAGCTAGAACCCGGATTCAATCCTTGGTTGGACCACTTTACTTAAGGTCTTGCAATAATTGAGGAAAAAGATTTGCCTTTACATTGATATCAGTAGGTTCCTCGGATTCCCTATCAATGGGGCAGAAATTTATAAAATATATTCAATGAGTACATCTTGGTTTTCACAATGTTTATCTTCGGTTAGATCATTAAAGCTATACAACAACGCGCATGCATAAAACAACCTCACAACTATATATCAAACATCATGAACATACAGAATCATGCATGAAACTGTGATATAAAATTTTGCAGTGAGATTATTTTCGCCGCAGCATCTTTAATGCCACACAAAATGGTATATCAATGAACATGAAAACGTCTTTCCATTTTGGAGGGTAAGAGATGTTAAAAACATAGTAGACTGCGTGGAGTGTGAGGAACGCGCTGTCAATTGTCACGGCATCTCCAAACTTAACAATCTTTTCTCTTTCAGAGCAAATGAATGCAGAGTTCAGGTTACATATTTCGTCCCCTGCTCCAAGGACCAATTTAGGGAACTTGCATGATCTTTGTAGTTCATGACAATTTCTGAGTCTGGATCATCCCAAAATTATAAATGCATCACAACATTTTTTAAGTTGAACAGTGAAATGAAACAAATGGCTGCAAGCATTTTTTGACATATAACGACATCTTGCATGAGGACCAGTTAGACGTAAGTGATGACATGCAGCCATCCAAATTAAGTCAAGGCGTGGAAGAGGAGTAACAATATTAATGTAAGTAAATATATAGACGGTTATTCAAGTTCCATGTATATTTAGATGCTGTAAACCCACAACCCGCTTCGTTAACATAATACAGAGGTAAAGATACCCGGTTCCCATTCACGGGTAGTAAAATAGGATTATCATGCGACCTCCATTAGGGTACCCGTAAACGGGGGGGGGGGAGTATCTTAACATCTAATATATAGTTACAGTCGTAAAATCAATTACGGAATCGTCATAATTCGCAAATCCTCTGCACTTAAGCATAATAGGTTGCTGCACAAGCTGCTTGGAATGTTGTATATGAACGGAAGAGAATAATATATAATTCAATTAATAAATGACGTCACCATTGTTGCTATGGCAATTCCGATCCTTTGGGTTTTATTGCAGTTTAAATTAATTACTTGAAAAAACGCTTGGTTATTCCCATATCCTATTTCATAAAACATTTTCCTATAGAAAAATAGACGATCTGCATGAACAAGCCGAATTTTAGAAAATTAACAATCATGTTTTTTTATAATATATTTTGTTTGTGGAATAGAAAATAACAATCATCGTCATAATAATTAACAATCATGAATTTTTTACATTTTTAAAAAATGTAGGGAACAATCTTAATTAAGAAACTTTAGTAATAACTGAAGATAATAAACACTATTTCATTAATAATTCATAAGCTTATTGGCAAATCATGTCAACCATTATATGTCACGCGCAGTGTCTTTAAACCTCATAAAGCACTCCTAATTAGTATTCTTTATATACAGAATAATAATAAAGCAGTAAAACTATTGAATTTGTAGTCGTGATTGAAGCCGTTTAATAAACTCGCAGGTCGTGTTTTATTAGGTTTAAAGCCACTCGCGCTGCGCGCACGTGGCTTTAAACCTACTAAAACATTCCCGCTCGTTTACTAAACAATACATAATTTTAGGTTGCGGAAACACCACGTAAACGGTGTGTAGGAATTCTGATGCATTTCCACGGTGCTTTTTGCACTTATACAGGTAGGTCGGGTTTTTTGACAGCTTCAAAGCCTTAAGTCAATTTACTTTACGTGTGTTTGTTTATACAACTTGTTGTAAACTTGCCTAAATTATTTTCGTTTATTTCCTTCCATTAGGTGTAGAATATTTCACCGACTTTATCTTTTTGAGTATAATTATATTCCCGCGAAGATTTTCAACATGCGTCATTTTGCCTGTTTAGCATGAAACAGAACCTACGAGGAACTAAAATTGTAACCATTGCAGGGGCGCGCCGCCTCACATTCTATTTCAGGTCGGGACAATCCAAAACTTCAGCACGGCACAAAATCTATTCCAACGTAGGGTCTAGTGCTCTTAATTAAATTGAAATTGTTCTAATCAAATTGAATTTTTTCCACTCGCAAGGCGTACCACCTCAAGGCGTACCACGTACCTCAACTGTTTCAAGTCGTGTCAACTTAAAACTTCAGCACGGGAAGAATTATTTCAACTCAAATTTAAACAATTATACATATACATGCATCAAAAAGTAATTTAATTTTTGATGAGATACAACACTACACAAAATGGTCAGGAAGATGGAAGAGATTGACTTGTGACTTGAACATATGCGCTATGATCTTTTTATATCTATGCATACATAAGTGTACAAAGCCGCCTATTCCCTTGCTAGGAAAGGTATATATGCATGTGTATGTATATATGTATGCATATATGTAGAATTAACAGAATCAGCACTATATATATTGTCTGACATTATCTTGAATTATCATTAATTATTATTACTATTTGTTATTATTATATTTAATTCAGGAGTACGTAATTTAAATGTTTTGATAATTTGCACTGAAAACATGCCCTATTAACGCCCAGTGTCCGATATAGCGGACACCTCGCGACCCCGATCAATACGACCAGTTGTTGCCATTCTGAGAGTCACTAGTGTCCCGTATGTTAAATAAACGTGTCTACAACATTGTTGCGAGCATTTTGGTATATTATTCAACTATAACATTCTCCAACGATTTTTATGAGAAAATAAAGACTTGGCACTTTAAATTGTTGTTGTATGGTAATCAATAATGTCTGGAGGACAGAATAAATTTACAACGCGTGAAATAATCGATCTTTGGGATCGAAATTATGGCATTCCTGTCGATGGGGAGGGTTCAAACATTTCGCCTGAACACTCTGAGCCAGATATTGATGCTGAACAAGCCGATTTCGATAGTGAATTGAGTGAAATAGGCGAACATACTGAGGTTCTTGACAACCTTCATACTTTGGAGATTGTTGACGAAGAGGGAATTGCTTCAACAATCATTTATTTTATAAAAGGTCACCAGACTGGTTTAGTCTTTACTACTTCTGGTGACCTGTGCCATAATATTTATATGTTTAAAAAAATGGTGTAATGTCATTTTACTTGGTGGTGCGAAATAAATTGTTGTTGTTGTTGTTTCTCCTCGGGGCAGAATTCCATCCTACTACGATTTTAGTAAAACACTGTAAAAACTGATTGGTCGAAATGACCAATTTTTTAGGTTGCAACCATTAGCAATTGGTCATTTTGACCAATTGTTTAATTAGTTAGTCGCATTTGACCAATTAAATTTGGTTCCTTTGACTATTACAAATTGGTCGAAAAAATTGGTCATCTTTCGACCAATTTATATAAGTTATTATAACCAACTTTTTATTGGTCATTTAGTTGAGTGTTCACTGTTAATTTCAAGGAGTTATTTCAACTCCACTGAGAATTAAAAATTGGGAGTGAAAAAGTTAAATTTACTCGGCCTACGTCTTCGATATATGCATTCGAACATATACTCCACTGAGGGTCAATTTAACTCCACTTAAAGGAGTAAAATATAACGGAGTAAATTTTACTCACAAACAGAATAACGGAGTAAATTTTACTCCTAATCAAAATAACCGAGTAAATTTTACTTAGTCATATTTTTTACTTCACAATTAATCGTATAGTATAGAAGTAAAAATATCGAGTAATATTCCGCCTAGTTTTTACTCGGCCTGTGTAATATAACTCGACCATTACACATAGGAATCCATAGGAATGGCCGAAACTATATTAAAGTTTCTTCAACCTTGAATTAGGGCGATATTTGCTATACAAATTTGTATAGTGAAAGCCTGCAGTTCGTGTAAAATCATCCGACAAAGACACAAGATCTAGCTGGTTGACGCGCTTTTTCGTAAATGTTGCCAAGTCAGATTGCTTTTAAAATTAGCAGTATCGGCTTCTTATTGTTCAATCGCGCGCGACGATCAAGTTTTTCTCGTCAAATTAATGTACTGTCATTGCTCTCAGTATATCAGTTGTTTATTTTTTATTTGCTGCGTAAATCTGTAATTTGAACTTGTGGAAAGTCCTGCTGCTGAATAATAATTTGCGCCAAGTGGAAGTTTCAAAGTTTCAACCAATTACCACGCTTAGAATATATCACGTGCTGTAGTAATTCACTGCTGAATATAATTTGCGCCAAGTGGAAGTTTCAAAGTGTCAACCAATTACCATGCTTAGAATATATCACGTGTTGTAGTAATTCAATCTTTTCACACCAGCGCGCTAAGTTCGATCTTTTGGGAGCAAACATTCAAACAGGAAAGATTTATATTCAAATTTTCTGCTTATAAAGATCGAAAGACTTAATAGAACACAAGGAGATTGTTTTCAAAGGTATGTCTCTTGTGTATTTACTTATTTGTATGCGGGTAGTTACTTGACAGACTGTGTAGTTATATTTTTAAATCGAAGGCCTGTATTTTATAGTCGCTTTGTGCCGATTTTAGGAAGGCATCTAAACGTTCAGTTGTAAATTTCGGTTTACATAACAGTCTCTACTTATCTGTATTGCTAAGAAAATCGTATACGGCTTATTTCTGTGATATACATATGTGTTGTTCTGTTAAGTATTTGCTATGTTGACACTTGACATGCATACTTTTATAATAATGTGATTTGTTTGAAATATGCATAATTACACTATTGACGAAGGGCCTTCATAAATTTCGAAACGTCGACTCGAGTTGTTTTTTAAGGTAGTATTTTTACATTGGTACTACCCACACTTTTAAAGACAGTATTAGTATATATTCACATTAATAGCATGTAGACAGCCTTTCCCAATGTGTGGCTTTATCAGTCAGCCACTCAGCCTAAAACATGTGCAAGGGGCCGCTTATATAAAGGCAAGCCAGTCAAGGTAACTAACCTGGTTATAGCCCGCTTTCACTGGATGAATGTCTGTTTACATGAGCCTCTTAAGATGAACATGCTTGCCAAAACAAATCACCCAGACTGAGTTGTATAATTTCCAATAAAATAAATTGACATACTTTTGCACACAGTTTTGAAATGTAACTTACAAAAAAATCACAGAGATCTTTTAATCCATTGAGCCACAATGCGCCCCAGTATGCTTGCTTAACGCCAGACGCTTTTACTCCTCAGTAGGGAAGCTCTGCAGCTTAATGGGTTAACCAAAAAATCTGACAATGTCTCTAGTTAACCCATTGAGCCGCAATGTGCCCTAGTGCGACCGACTTATTTTATTTACTTGTCTACCGCCAGCAGTGGTGTAACTTTACTTTTTTGACCACTTGCCCTCAGGGCAAGTTGGTCATAAAGATTAGTTGCTCTGAATAAATTCACTTGCCATCAGACAATGGCTGCTTGGGGTACCTAAGTAGGGGGTATAAATTAACCCATTAAGCGCCAGCGCTCTCCCTTGACGAGTAAAATCGTCTGGTGTTAGACAGAGTAAAATGCTAAAGTAGGGTGCATCAGGGTGCAATGCGACTCAATGGGTTAACTAGACACATGGACAGATAGGCCAGTTAACCCATTAAGCGCCAGCGCTCTCCCCTTGACGAGTAAAATCGTCTGGCGTTAGACAGAGTAACATACTAAAGTAGGGTGCATCAGGGTGCAATGCGACTCAATGGGTTAAGGGGACAACATGTCAACCTGTTCTCCCACTGTGCTATATGGCTATGTTATACTGCCTCAGATATAGCTTTGATGCACAAAAAATGAAATTTGAACCAAGTCCATGCACTATAAAACAAAATATATCTGACAATGAATAGTGGCAAGGCAACTTGCCCAATCGGCAGCAAGATAAAGTGTTTACTTGCCCATCATGATATTCACTTGCCCCAGGCAAGTGTTAAGTTACACCTCTGGCCAAATGATTTTACTCGTCAATGGGGAAACTCCAACTCTACAGCTTAATGGGTTAATATTCAAATTGATTGGGAAATGTCATTTAGAAGATTACATTATGCCTAAACAAAGCATGAATAATGTGCCAAATCCTGGGTCATTGTATATAGTTTATATGGAAAATCTTAGTTTGGCATTAGCAACATTTTGGGTCAATTGTGGCAGTATCTTAAGTTTATTTATTTAGCTTTGCCAACTAGGTGTCACCACAACAGCATGTGCCAATTACTGTTGGCTCTTTTACATCACCCACCCTGTCAACTTTCCCTGTAGGAGGAAACCGGGGTACCTGGAGAAAACCCATGACTTTTGACAGAGTGTTGACTTTTACTCTTCACATGAGGACTGGGTTTGAGTCGCATTGAGAAAGTTCTCACTGAGGCTTGAACCTGCAGCCTTAGAGGTGAATGGCAAATGCATATAACAGCTTTGCCACCGAAGCCCCCCATCTTCCTAAAAAAGTCCAGCTCAGTTCTACATTATAAAGTAAAACACAAGTTGAAATATATAGAATATTATAACAAAGTCTGGATCTCACCAAAACTGGGCCAGCTCAGGTACACAGGTGCCATCACCTCATATAAACAGCCACTAAATCTACCTTGCTGGATTATATAGAATGATATTTTTCAATTAGGAATTTTGGAAAAAACAGTTACAAGTTATGCACCAGTATTTTAAACAGTCTTTTACCAGTGAGAATAGTTGTATTGGATATTTGGATGCAGATGTTACTTCAATTGCATGCTAGCCTTACATTAAACATGTCAAGTGAAAGCATTTGAATTTTGTATTTCTTGCTTTGTACACTAACCAAAAATAGGAAATTCATTGTCAATCAATCAATAATTTGCTACCATTATATATCAACCTTAATATGTATTTTTTTCTTAATAGAGATTGTATTTAATATGGATTCATTATATATCCTGATCCTGAATGAAAAGTTATTAATAAAAGCTTCCCAGCAGAAGGCAAGTTGTCTAAACAAGTGGCAATATATATAATCATTAATGGCATTTTAAGTACTGCATAGTCTATTTGGAAAATGTTATTCTTTTGCTGGAGAGTCAGTTTATGGATTAACAAACCTGACAAGGAATGGAGTTGCTGACTTGTGGTATGAAGCTTGTACTTTTAAATTTTAACTAGTGAACTTGTATGGCATGCTTGATTGAGCAGTGACAACACTACATGCAGTACAGGTATATTATACTAACTTGTAAATATTCTACATTGAAGAGAATTATGTTAACCTTTTATGTGGCAATGGGCTCTACCTTATTATTTTTTCTGTCTAATGCCAGACAATTTTACTCATGAAGGAGAGAGTGTTGCCACTCAATGGGTTAAAGCCAAATTTCTGTAGATGGAAATTTTGAACAATAACTATGTAATAAGTACTGTGCCGGGAATGGAACCTGTTGCCCTGTGATTCTGAACAGTTCCTTAACAGCCGAGAGTCCATCAAGCCCTGAGAGTCCAAGCGCCAAGAATCCATCAAGCTAACCAAGAGTTCATTTATACAATACTAGTGTCATCCCAGTTTATTTAATATACTACCAGTGACACCACCATCATGGTATAATTATACAGAAAGTTACATCTTGGCAAAAGGACTCTTTAGGTCAGAGGGCTGCAGTAGAATTGCAGGGCTGCAGGTTCAATTCATGCTGGCAGGCTTGTAATTGTATTAAAACTGTCTGTATACCAGTACCAGCGTGGGTAGTACCAATGTGAAATTGCTGTGCTGAGTGGTTATATTACTACCTGAAAAAAAAAGCAAACAGAAACTGAATGTTTTGAGCAAAGACCCTTCGCTCGAAATGTTGAGTTTCTGCTTGTTTTTTTTTTGAGGTAGTAATATAACCACTCAACACAGCAATTGTAATTGTATTCCTTTGCAATTGCTCTCACATAGTTCTAAGGTACCTGTAGCTCTAGTTTATTTAATTGTCTTATTATATTGTAATGATATATTTTTTATTAAATTCCATGTATATAATATATACATGTTCAGTGATGTAAGACTCACAAATTTTCTTCATTTTAATGCAGTGTATAGGTTGTGACATATTTTAATGCAGTGTATAGGTTGTGACATTAAATTGGTCGAAATGACAAAAAAAAATTGGTTGAAATGACCAAAAAAAATTGGTCACCTGGATGCATCTGAGAGAACCAATTAAAAATGGTCGTTTTAACCAATAAAATTAACCATTTTATTAATTGGTCAAAAATGACCAAAAAAAATTGGTCACCTGGATGCATCTGAGAGAACCAATTAAAAATGGTCGTTTTAACCAATAAAATTAACCATTTTATTAATTGGTCAAAACAACCAAAAATATTTGGTTATATTAACCAATTATTATTGGTTGAAATGACCAATTAATTAATGGTTAATTTTATTGGTTAAAACGACCATTTTTAATTGGTTCTCTCAGATGCATCCAGGTGACCAATTTTTTTTGGTCATTTCGACCAATCAGTTTTTACAGTGAACAACATGGAAATTGGAAAGGGAGGACTGTGATGATGAGATGTGCCAGACATTCTCCGGGGTGAGTTTCAACAGCAGGTGGGTGCAGTAAACTTTCTTCAAAGCGCAGCATCAACCCTTGATTTTTTCCCCTATTGTTTAGCATGAACATTGTCAATGACATTGTATGTGAAACCAATATGTATGCGTTTCAATGTCTCACAGCTGCGGGTAAAGAGCCACATTTATTTGAGCGAATTGCTGAGACTGAATTGCTAGCATATTTCGGTCTTTGAATTGCCATGTCTATATGCACCCTGTTCACAGTATTCGTGACTATTGGTCCCGAGACTGGATATTTGGGGTACCCTCATTAGCTCCGGTAATGACTGTTGCTCGTTTCGAGACAATAAGTCGATACTTTTATATCTTAACGATGTTAACTATTGTTAAACCTTTTTACACATTGTATATATATTTCTGAAATTCATTAATAATTCACGAGCAATTTAGCCAATGATAATCACCTATTTGATCACAAGATGCCATTTGGATAACCTGGTGAAACTTGATGAAAGTCACTACTGTTTCCATCAAATATCTTAATTACGCATGCAAAATTACTTGAATAAAATTCCTAATTACGTTATGCTTGGTTAAGAAGTCTATTCAAATCAGCAAACGAAAACATTCTGTTACGTCTCGATTCATTTGGGAAGCCATATAAACAACTCGAGCTTGTGTCTCACCGGGATATCCAAACACTCGAAAACAACGTATGAAAACACTCGCGCTTCGCGCTCGTGTTTTCATTCATTGTTTTCTCGTGTTTGGAGATCCCGGTGAACATACGCTCTCGTTGTTCATATATTACATAACAGTTTTCCACCCTATTTGTATGAGTCACAGGAATATTAACGTTAAATTATAACTAAATTCATTCCTATCTGGTAACAAATTATGAATTCTATTGAATACATGAACCATTATATGCACCCTGTGACCGTATAGCTACTGGCGTGATATCGCCTTTTGTACGATATTGTAGAAATTTAGAGCCTCATGTAGGGGGGATGCGTGAAGTTCTCTTTGGGCTTCTAAATTGGCATGCCCCAACTTCTTTCGGATTGAAAATTAATTACAGAGTGATTTTAGCTGATGAGGGGTGATAATTTAGCGAACCCAAACATTCTCAATTCAAAGATGAAACGATAAACATTTGGGTCACGCTTTGCGCGATGGACATTTTTGGTCAACGTTTAGTTTAGCGTAATTGGACGTTATTATAAATTTGACCTCATTCGCACCTTCCGTGGTCAATAATATACCGGCATGAGTACCTATTAACTGGATGAGCTTCCTCACCTGTGCGTTGCAATCCGGCATATGTTGTCAAGAACACCAGGAAGATTATGTAGAACAACATATTACTCATAATCCATAAACGTACGCTGGTAGAAGTCAATGTGTTCTTTAAAAACATAAGAACAAGAGGATGTCTCAAGCACTCAACTCGTCTATACGTAACCATAGTCTCAATAGCTTCAAGCTTTCCGCCAGTAACTAGAAAATAAATCATACACTACAATTCAGCTTAGGTCTATCGGCCGTACAGTCAATTTTTAAACAACATTTGAAAACATACGCCGATTGGCTGAAGGCTCTATTTTTATAACTTAAAAAAAACATGGAAATTTAACATCTTTCATAAAAACTCACGGTCTCTCGAAAGTTGTAAAAATACTAAAAAAAATATTTAATATAAAGTTGTGACGCTTGCAAGACAAAAAAGAGATTTTGGATGACTTTTTTGAAGGTATTATAAACGTTTCTAATGTGACGACGTTACGTTGAACTATGTACTAATTGTAAGTGACAAGAATTTATATTTCTATAGTTTTAATAAACGAATATTTATAAGTTGTTTCTAACTAAACTTACAGGTGAAAACTGTTGTGACGTACTCGATAATCCTGTTTTCCTTTTCACTTCTCTCAATGTTGGAAAAAAATGGTTTGCAGAAACTTCATGACATAGACCTACCAACAATGAATAGGAGCAGCAGGGGAAACCTTATGTGTCACAGCATTATTGGCGAAGATTGCATTTATTTTATGGAAGAAAAAGAAAAAAAATTCCTTGTTCCAATAGCTACAGTAGGTTATAGAAACACTCGTAGCAGATTGCAAGAGGTGGAAGTAATCAGTGTTGTAACGAGCGCAACTCGAGTCGCTATTTTCAGCGACTCGACTCGAGTCCAATACGAAAAATGAATCGACCCGAGACAACAGCCTCAAATGACTCCACTCGGACTCGACTTGCTGATTTTTTCGTAAATGACTCGAGTCAACTCAGCTACAACTTGTACAGAATAAATTCATCAGAATTATTGTGATTGTATTGCTTGGGAAGAAAAATGAGCCCTGTGAACAATGAGAACTTCGAAACTTCATCAGAAAATATATGGGATTTGCATAGAATATATTCCCGACGAGCATGCTTCTATTACATTTCTGTTTTTAGAAACAACGCTAGTGCGAACAGTTTTTAAAATGGAGTTTCAAAATATTTTGTACTTATACTAATTTATATGCATCAAGGGCTATATAATTTCAAATTTACTTACAAAGGCAAAGCGTGATTAACTAAAAGCCCCATTTACACTACGCTCAATTTTTGGTGCGGCACATAATAAAATTGGTACCCGTACCACTTTTTTGGTTCCTGGACTACCCATTTAGGTAGTAATAACATCATAACTTAACAAGTCGTTCTCAGCTTGACCTTGTAGCTCAGACGGTAGAGCATCGTTCTAGAAATACGAAGGTCGCGGGTTCGAATCCCAGCCGCGGTCAAGTAGAATTTTCTGCTTGCCCGGTTTGGTATACACTCGTCTGAAAACAACTCAAAAACCATTACATAACGTTACACGAGTGGAATCGTAAACGTGGGAAACCACAACATTCACATACAACATTGCCAGACTAATAGCTGGCTTTACGCATTGAAGGACTAACCTCCGAAATGCAACTAACATCATAACTTAACAAGTCGTTCTCAGCTTGACCTTGTAGCTCAGATGGTAGAGCATCGTTCTACAAATACGAAGGTCGCGGGTTCGAATCCCAGTCGCGGTCAAGTAGAATTTTCTGCTTGCCCGGTTTGGTATGCACTCGTCTGAAAACAACTCAAAAAAAAAACCCCACTACATAACGTTACACGAGTGGAATCGTAAACGTGGGAAACCACAACATTCACATACAATATTGCCATACTAATAGCTGGCTTTACGCATTGAAGGACTAACCTCTGAAATGCAACTAACATCATAACTTAACAAGTCGTTCTCAGCTTGACCTTGTAGCTCAGATGGTAGAGCATCGTTCTAGAAATACGAAGGTCGCGGGTTCGAATCCCAGCCGCGGTCAAGTAGAATTTTCTGCTTGCCCGGTTTGGTATACACTCGTCTGAAAACAACTCAAAAACCATTACATAACGTTACACGAGTGGAATCGTAAACGTGGGAAACCACAA